CAGTATTTGCTCTTTTCTTTTCCTCTTCTTTGATATCTCATTATCTAAGGAGTGAAAGATTAGCATTCAGATTTTTTTCCCCAGGTTTTGTATATGATGCTATATAATTCAGGTAGATCCTTCAGTTATTATTCAGATGAATATAGTAATAGAAATGTATATACAAAAAACAAAAATTGTTTTAAAACTGAAAAAAGATAGGATGGGGGTTGACGTGTTAAGGCATCCTAGAAGACACTTCTGAGCTTAATATCTGAACTTGATTTTAAGGAGCAGATAGGAGTTTTCTAAGTACATAAGGGAGGCAAGACAAAAGCAACAGGATGTAGAAAGGAAGAAGGTTCATTCAGTGGCGTGGTGGTGGAAGCAGCTGGATCCCCCATAACCAACTGCATGGTTCAAGTTCTGGACCCGGCAGCTTGAAAAACATGCCAGGTGTATGTGTACACAAAATGCCAAGAGGAGGATGGAGGAGATGGGATTGCACTGTGGCCATCCCCTTTGAGGGGTGATTTCTCACTTTCCCCCTCTCTCTCTCTGGCGAGCACACATACTCTATAGTAAAAACTAAAAAAAGAAAAAAAAAGTAAAGAAAACCAGAGTCAGGAGATGGCATTATGTGTTCTATGAATTACAGGGAGCATGATACTGCTAGAGTAAAAATGCTCCTGGGAAGTATTGGGAGTTCAGGTGCAAAAAGCATATATTTTTGATCAGTTAATTTAGTCAACACATACTTTATTTGCAATGTGTTTATGAACTGTTTAAGTGCCATTTTGAAGTATTTTCCTATTGGTCTTTTTTTCCCCCAAAGTGTTTAGAATTTCTCTTATGCTTCAGTAATGTCAAGATAATTTATTTTTACTTTGAAATTTTTCCCTTTTATGCAATTTGCACATGAAATACTTATTTTTCTCATACTTTTAAAAAAAAGAAAAATAGAGAATATATTAAATTTAGCATAGTGGGACCAGCAGTTGGCTACTCCCACGTAGTCGAATACTCTACAAGTCCCATATCTGGTGGCTTAAACTCACATTGGGCGCATGTGTGTGCATGCCCAAGATCCCGAGAGGAGAATGGAGAAGGGATTTCGGCGTGGCCCTCCCCACCTGGGGGGAGGGGGTGATTTCTTGTTTTCTGTCTCTCTGTCTCTCTCTGTCTTTTTGGCAAGTGCATGCGCCCTATAGCAAAAAACCTCTCAAAAAAAAAAAAAAGTTAGCATAGTACCTAAAGAAGCAAACAGAGGAAGTATTGTTTTCTATGTATTACCTTTGTGTTATTATTTATAATAGGAAAAACAAGGAAAAAATAGTCCTCCCTTGGACAGATACTAAAATCTTTTTCTTTTTTTGGAGAGGTTTTTGCTATAGGGTGCGTGTGCTCTCCAGAAAGACAGAGAGAGACAGAGAGACAGAAAGCAAGAAATCACCTCCCAGGGAGAATGGCCACGCCGCAATCCCTTCTCCTCCATTCTCCTCTCGGGATCTTGGGCATGCACACACATGCGCCCAATGTGAGTTTAAGCCACCAGGTCCGGGACTCGAACCACAGTCAACTACATGCGAGTCCAGCGACATAGCCATTACGCTACTGCTGGTGCCTTAAAATCTTTAAATGGGGGCCAGCAGGTGACGTGGTTTCCCAGGGCTCTGGACTATGACATGGCCGACCGCGGTTTGAGTCCCGGACTTGGCTTGCTTTCTCACTTTCTTTCTCCCCTGTCCCTCTCTGATCAAATTAAAATAAGTAAATAAATAAAGTTAAATAAAATAATTCTTTAAAAAAAAATCTTTAAATGAGCAGAGCCTTAAGTCATAAGAATAAAAGGTAAAAATTTTGCAAATGAGTCTTTGCTATGATCTGAGTTGCCACTTCCATCTGTAGTCCTTGTTTCCTAGTACCATGTGAAGTACCATTTTTGTTTCCTCTTTCAGAAAACCTACTGAGGGTCACCAGCAGATAGGTTAATGGTTACATCACTGGACTCCCACATAGTCAACCATGGTTTGAGTCCCGAACCCAGTGACTTAAAACTCACACCCGGCATATGTGCATGTGTGCCCAAGCAACTTTTAAAAATTGCTATAGGGCACACATGCTCACCAGAGAGAAAGCATTTCCCAGGGGTTCGGGTCATGTCACAGTCTCTTCTCTATTTATTTTTCCCATTAGGATTCTGGACACACATGCACACTTGCCTGGTGTTTTGTTTTGTTTTGTTTTGTTTTGTTTTATTTTTGAGAGGTTTTTCGCTATAGGGCGCATGCGCTCGCCAGACAGAGACAGAGAGACGGAAAGTGAGAAATCACCCCCCAGGGAGGATGGTCATGCCGCAATCCCTTCTCCTCCATTCTTCCCTCGGGATCCTGGGCACGCACGCACACGCACCCGGCATGAGTTTTAAGCCACCCGGTCCGGGACGCGAACCGCGGTTGACTACATGGGAGTCCAGCGACATAGCCATTACGCTAACTGCTGGTTCCCCTGGTGTGTTTTTTCAAGCTCCTGGGACAGGATTTTAACTGCTATCAATTATGTGAGATCCAAGATCTATCTGCTTTAGCCACTAGGCTATGGGGCCAGCCCAAAAGCAGTTTTTTTAATTAAAAAAAATTTTTGTTGTTGTTTTTAAGGTTCTTGCCATAGGGTGCTTGTGCTGGCCAGAGAGAGACAGAGGGAAAGTCAGAAATCACCCCCCAGAGAGCATCGTCATGCTGCAGGCTCTTTTCCTCCATTCTCCTCTTGGAATTTTGGGTATGCATGCACACACTCCCAGTGTGATTTTCAAGCCGTCTGGGCTGGAACTCAAACCATGGTTGGCCATGTGAGAAACCAGCGCCTTAACCCCCACACCTAACCTTCTGGCCCCTCAAAGGCAATTTTGACCAGTCTCACAAGATGCTGAATTTATCTGGCACTGTAACTGAGTCTTCATTAAACCATTTTATCGTTCTGTAAAACCTGGGACGTCTGCATAATGTCATAAGACCAGTGACTATTGTGAATCCATTTATTTTGTTATAAAATGAGTTTGTGGGTCAAAAAATTATGTAGTATGGGGCTGGCAGGTGGTATGATGGTTAAGGTGGTGGACTTCCACATGGCCAACAGCAGTTCGAGTCCTGGCCTGAAGGCTTACTTTCTCACTTTCTCTCTCTCTCCCTCTTTGGTGAATTAAAATAATAATAATAAAATAATTTTTAGAAAGTATTATGTAGTATGGTGAGTAATTCATTTACTAAGACTACAAATGTGTTACTTACTTATACCAGCATGGCAAGGAGGGAGGACAATTCTAGATACAAAAGGGGCATGTTCTAATGAAGAATTAAGTAGTCCCTTCAAAATGAAATGGGGAATATGAATCAACATGCTGTTAGGTAGTCTGTCCGATGTATTGTGCCATATCGAGATTTTTTAAAGAATTATTTATTTAATTTTATTTATTATTTTTGTTTCTCCTTTGACCAGAGAAAGAAAGTTAAAGTGAGAAAGCAAACCACCAGGTCCAGGACTTTTGAACCATGTTTGACCATGTGGGAGTCCAGCACCTTAACCACCACACTACCTGCCGACCCCACCATAACAAGGTTTTAACGGTGGTGGGACCAGCAGTTGGTGTAATGGCTATGTCACTGGACTCCCATGTAGTCGACCGTAGTTCGAATCCTGAACCTTGTGGCTTAAACTCACAGCGGGCGTGTGTGTATGCGTGGCCAAGATCCCAAGAGAAGGGATTGTGGAGTAGCCATCCACTCGGGGGCTGATTTCTCGCTTTCTGTTTCTCTGGCAAGCACACACGCCCTATAGCAAAAACGTCTCAAAAAAAAAAAAAAAAAGAGTTTAACATTGGTTTTTGCTACTGGCAAATTAGGTATTCATTGATGGTTCAGGACTGGAATACTAGAGTATCCTTGATAGAATCCATGCTGTTGAATCTATGCATAATCTGAAGCCTGTGCCATTATGACCCCTAATTTATTAAACTATTATGTTTGTAATAAGATATAGCAGAGGGAAAAGGCTGACTTGATATCTACAGGTGATTAATAAGCAATCATTTTGAGCTCCCATAACCTCATCTTGTAAAACTAATCACAGCCTATTGTCTTCAAACCAAATCAGATCCCACTCTCAACCACTCCCACATTTGTGTGGTGCTTGTTTCTTAGTGAAAATGCACATTGACTTCATTCAGCAAAAGATATGCTACTTGCACATTAGATTCCCCAGAAATGTTACTAAGCTAGTAACCTACCAAAATTTTTCATGTGTTCTTGTTTCCAGCTCTCCGGCATGCATATATCTTACCAAGGCACCTGAGGTATCCTACTGCTGTTGACCAAGTTCCATTAGTGTAGAGTAGACCAACTTGCAGTCATGTCAGGTGATGAGATCATCAAAATCCCAGTAGACTATAAATACTCTGCAGAGTTGATAGAAGCCTGAAGCAAGAGAGTAAAGTTTGTCCTTACTTGGCAGAGACAAGTGTTTCTGATGTTGCATGTTTATTGTGGTATAGGAAAAAGCATTTGCCAGAATGATGACTATTTATATATTGCTATACTCTTTCAAGCACATCTAGTGGCAACGGGTGTAGTAGTTAAGGCACAAGACGCCCACATGGAAGACAGTAGTTCGAGTCCTGGACATATCAGCTTGCTTTCTCACTTTCCCTCTCTCTAGGGAGCACACTTGCCCTATAGCAAAAATAAATAAATATCAGAAACTCCACACATCTGGAGTAGCAGCTGTAATGAAAAGTTTCCAACTGGAGTCTTTCAAGTCAAATTTTTTTTTTGAGAGAGATTTTTGCTATAGGGTGCATGCGCTCACTAGAAAGACAGAGAGAAGCAGAGAGACAGAAAGTGAGAAATCACCCCCCAGGGGGGCATGGCCACACCACAATCCCTTCTCCATTATCTTCTCGGGATCGTGGCACACACGCACCCAGGATGAGTTTAAGCCACCGGGTCCGGGACTCGAACTGCGGTCGACTACATGGGAGTCCAGTGACATAGCCGTTACGCTAACTGCTGGTCCCAAGTCAAGTTTCTTTTTTTGTTTTTTGTTTTTTTTTTGTTTTTTTAGCTTTATTTTATATCCCAGATGGACAGATAGACAGCTGTCCTTAACAGGATCTCAGCACTTCTCAGTCCTTCTCTGAGCTCCCCATGTTGTTCTTGTATCAACCCTTGGTGCTGTGCTCTATTACCTGTACCATTATGACAATATCCTATTATGGGGAAACATTTAGTGTACTCTTGGATAGAATATGAAGTGAAATTAATAGAAAGTTAGAAAATTATATGTGTGATATTGTTTTGTTTCATTAAGTCATTTAAAAATGACTAGAGAGAGGGCCAGAGAATGGTGCATTGAGAAAACTTTATAATACTCCTCAAGACTGACTCTTTGGAAGGTTCTTGGTTGAATCTGGAGAACTGTCTTGAGTCAGTTAGGCACATGATTAGGGGCTAGCTGAAAGGCGAGGTGGTGTTGGGAAGTGGAATCACAGCCTCAAACCCTGTGGGGTTTCTTCCTCTGTTCTCTGTCTATGAATTTGTTTGACATCTTGAAACAAAATAGCAGCCATTTTCAAATATTCTTAATTATTTTTTTAATTTGCCAGAAGGTGTATGTGCTTTCCAGATTGGGCAGGGAGAGTATCACTTGGGGGAATTGACATGCCGTAGCCCCTTCTCCATTTCACCTCCTATCAGGATTTTGGGCATACACACACGCACGCCCAGCATGTTTCTCAAGCTGCAAGATCCAGGGCTCAAAAGGCATGATCAGCCATAGGGGGTCCAGCTCCTTTCATTAACAGGCCATGGGCTGACCCTGCTTAACTAATTTTTCAAAGATTTAGTTATCTATATTTATAAATAAACATCATGGAAAAATGTCTAATAACATGACTAAAATGATTAAAAGTATATTTACTGTTAATAATACTGTCTGTATTGGTTTCCCAAACTATCAGCATTTTTCTATATTATCTTTGACATATTTTAATAAACTAGAGAAAAAGTCTTTAAGTATAGTTACTTGAGTTTTTGCTCTCCCTCCTTCCCCAAGCTTTCTAATAGAAAATGACACTGAGTCTTTAAATCATTGCTAATCAGGGCCAGCAGGTGACATGGTGGCTAAGGTGTTAGACTCCCACATGGCCAACCGCGGTTGGAGTTCTGGACCTGGCAGCGTGCTTTCACACTTTTCCTCTCTGTCTTTCTCTGGCCTCCCCAAAAAAGAAAAAGAATAAAATTAAATAATTATTTAAAAAATAAATCATTCCTACTCATTTTAACCTAGAATGACTGTTGTCAGAATTTGCCTAGGAGTGTGAGTGTTAGATATAAGACTTTTTGGCTGTAAACTGACTACTTTACCTGACTAATTATCTGAAATAAAATTTTCTGGAAGCTATTTCCAGCCTACTGGGCATTGCTTTAAAAGAATATTATCCTTCATTTCCTCCTTTATCATAATACTGCTTTTGAATGTGAGTTGTATTTATAGAATCATTTTAAAATATCATTTATTCTTTTATAAGAAAGAATTTGACATTCATGGTTTAATTCTTTTCTTACAGGTATGTTGAATCGATGGGATGATAGTCAGAGATTTTTGTCTGACCATCCATACCTTGTATGTGAAGAAACTGCTAAATATCTTATTTTGTGGTGTTTTCACCTAGAAGCTGAGCAGGTATTAAATTAACCTTTATTTTGGAGAACCTTACTGGAATTCTGATTTTCAACTTTATTATGTTTTTTTTTTAATTACTTTAAATGAAAGTGGGAAGGTAATTAGATGGAATTACTAAATTTTTGTTTTTAGATCTACTCGAGTTTAATGTGGATGCTTTTTTTTTTTTAGTTTTTTCAGTTAGCATATGGAAACGTGTATACTTTTTCTGCCATCTCCCGCCTTGTTCCTATTTTATAATCCATTTTCTTTTTAAAATAATTTAAAAGTTTTAAATATCAGCCATCACAGTATTCATTCAAAGCAGTAACAGTCTTCTTTAGTCATTCTGGCCCAGATACAAACAGTCAAAACTAATCTAGGTCCTTTATATAACTGTAAAATATTTGTAGAAGTATTTCTTGGAATAAATTTTAATCTATCTATTTTCAGAAAGGGGCTCTAATGGAACAGATAGCACATCAAGCTGTGGTAATGCAGTTTATTATGGAAATGGCCAAAAACTGTAATGTGGATCCAAGAGGGTGTTTTCGTTTATTTTTCCAGAAAGCCAAAGTAAGTAATTATTTGGTATTATTACTTGGAAAAAATTGACCATAGTTGAGACCTCTGTTCTTCACACATCAAAAGAAACTATCTAGGGGCCAGCAGGTAGCAGAGTGGTTAGGTTGTTAGACTCCCACATGGTCAGCTGTGGTTTGAGGCCAGACCCGACAGCTTGGAATTCATGCCAGGTGCATGTGCGTGCAAGCCTAAAATCCCAAGAAGAGAATGGAGAAGAGCTTGTGGCACGGCCATTCCCCCGGTGCGTGATTTCTTGCTTTCTGTCTCTCTGGCAGGTGCCACATGCTAAATTCTGTAAATTTTATAGTGAAAAGAACATTTTATTGCTAACTTCATGCTGAGGAAGACTTAAAGGAACCAAATAAGAGGCTTTACTATAGCATGTATGTAAAATTGAGACCCATTAAAATGAATGTGTGTATTTGAGAAACTTGGAGTATTCCATCATTTATTCATTCAGTGAATATTAAGTGCCTACTAATACAAAGCACAGATGTTTTAGGTGCTTAGGCTATAATGTTGAACAAAGTATAGCAGCCTCCATCTATAGAACTCACTTTAATGAGAAATCATACTTTCTAATAAAGATTGGGGCATGACCAGGTCCAATTGGGATGCTTCCTCCCCTTCCACCACCAATCTTACATGTACACATATATGTGCCCATTTGCCCCATGGCATAAAATAAATTATTTTCATGATCATAGTAAGATGTTACTTTCTATTTTCATCTAATTCTCTCATGAGTGTACAGTAGAGATGGATGTAGAAGCAGATATGATAATACAGCTATCTTCTATTAATAAGCCAAACATTAGAGAGATTTCCAAAAATGAAAAGAAAGCCACCCTTTTTACAAAATTTTTTTGTTTTAGAAAATACAGTTATGTTTAAAACAAAAATGTTATTTATGGCAGCATGAGTTCATTATTGTTACTTAGTTGCTAGAGGGGGCATGCATTTGTCAAAGACCAGTCAGGTAGGGAGAAAGCACCTCCACAGCAGGGCATAGCTGCCAGGTCTAGGACTCAAACCATGGTCAGCCATATGAGAGTCCAGAGCCTTTCCCATCATGCCCCTGCTGCCTCTCTCACCCCCTGCATTGTGTTTTTCAAGCTGCTGGGTCTGGCATTTGAACTGAGATTGGCCATATGGGATCTGGCTGCCTCAATATGTAGGCTACAAGGGCCAGCCCTATTTTTATTTTTAGTTAATATTTTTTCTAAGTTCTTCAGTTTTATTTATTATTTTTTTATTTGCCAGAGGGTGTATACTCTCACCAGGGCAGAGACAGAGAGATAAGGAGAGGGGGGAAAAATACCTTTGACAGAGAGATAAGGAGAGGGGAAAAAATACCTTTTAATGTGGTATGGTCATGCCACAATCCTCTCTTCCATTTCTCCATCCTGTTGGGATTCTGTGCATGCATGCACATATGCTCAGCATGTTTTTCAAGCTGCTAGGGCCGGGATTGGAACCATGTGGTCACCCATGTTGAATCTAACTCCCTTAATCACTAGGCAAGGGAGCCAGCATCCATAGTTTTAATTTCCTTCTTTTTTAAAGAATTATTTATTCAGGACTAGCAAATGGCGTAATGGTTACGTTCTTGGACTCCCATGTAGTCAACTGTGGGTCGAGTCCTGGACCCAGTGGCTTTAAATTTATACTGGGTGTGTGTGTGTTTATGCATGTGTGCCCAAGATACCAAGAAGAGAATGGAGAAGAAAGGATTGCAGCATGGCCACCCACCCTGGAGGGTGATTTCTCACTTTCTGTCTCTGTGTCTCTAGTGAGTACATACGCCCTATAGCAGAAATCTCTCTTTAAAAAAAAATAAGTATTTATTCTTTCTTTATTATTATTATTTTTAAATTTGACCAGAGAGAGAGAAAGGGAAAGTGAGAAACCAAGCTGCCAGATCCAAGACTTGAACCACAGTGGGCCACATTGGAGTCCAGTGCCCTAACCACCATGCTGCCTGCTGGCCTATCCCCCACTCTCCTTTTTTTAAATTTTCCTAAAAGGCATTTGTGTTTGCTGGAGAGAGGCAGAGAGAGAGAGAAAAGGAAACTGAGAAAGCACTCACCATGGCAAATGACGAGGCCAGTCTTTTCTGTATTTTGGATGCAGACACACACACACACACACACACACACATACATATGTATATATATGCTTGGCATGTTTCTCAAACCATCAGGCCCATGACTCAAACTGCACAGTTATCCATGTGGGATCCAGCTACCTTAACCACCATGCCAACAGCTGGCCCCTCACTTCTAATTTTCTAACACAGTAAATATTGACAAATGTAACCCATATAAACAGAAGCTCTTTAAGTTCCTCAGTAATTTTTGAGCGTATATAAGAGTCCTGAGACCATAATGTTTGAGAATTGCTGCCCTGGAGAGACTCTTACACATGTGTACCAGTTGACATTATGTTTATTATAGAATTGTTCATAATAGTAAATAGGCTGGAAACAACCCAAATGTCTGTTATCAGTAGAATGAATAAATGTGGTGTATTCATTTGGTGAAATACTAACCAACAACATGAATGAAAAAAAAAAAAAACAGGAAAACAGGAGAGTGAATAAAACCAGCCAGAGTGACATATCCAGTATCTTTTTTTTTTTTAGAGGTTTCTGCTATAGGGTGCGTGCACTTGCCAGAAAGACAGAGACAGAAAGATGGAAAGTGAGAGATAACCCCCCCACCAAGGGAATGGCTATGCCACAATCCCTTCTCTATTCTCCTCTCGGGATCTTGGGCACACATGCCCAGAGTGACTCAAACCACAGTCGACTACATGGGAGCCCAGCGACATAGCCATTATACTAACTGCTGGTCCCTCCAATATCATTTTTAAAAATAACAGGCAGGGGGCCAGCACATGGCATGGTGGTTGAGGTCCTGGACTCCCACATGGCTGACTGCAGTTCAAAGCTCAGATCTGGTGACTTGCTTTCTCACTTTCTCGCTTTTTCTTTTCCAAGTGTGCCCTATAGCAAATTAAAAAGATAAAATAGCAATATATAAAGTAAAGTAATAATTACATTTTAAAAATAACAGGTAGAACTCTACGTACATTGTTGAGAGGTACATTTATAAGCAGTAAACTTGGAGAAGCAGGGGAATGATTATGACAGAAGTCTATGATAAGGGTAACCACTTGAGAACTGGTTTCTAAGGTACTAGTAATAGTCTAATTCCTGATTTCTATATAGTGAGGTTTTTGTCAAAAAAAAACCTGAACAGATATATTTTTCTTGCTGTTTTGCACTTAGGATACATTTGAGCACATACACTTAGAAGTTAAAACATACCCAAAACTTAACTTTAGTTATACTTGGATGATAGAATTAAAAATTATTTCCTTTTTCTTTTTCATGAACTATAATGAATATTTCCTTTTTAAAAAAGAGAAAATATTATATTTTTTAATTAAAAAATAAATTTGTGAAGGTGTCAGTAGTTCTGCATAAACTCTTAGGTAGTGTGACCTAAACAGGAAATTTTTCAGAAATAATTAAGTTTTATGATTGAATTGGTTGAGTTGATATTTTAGTTAGGCTTCTGGTGACTATTCAAGTTTTTTACTTAACACATGGGAGTAAAAAAAAAAAGATATACTTTTTTTTTTACATTTTATGTAACTGGATGTGTTTAAATGGATGTATTTCAAAATAATGGACTATAACCAAACTACCACAGATTCTTTGGAATTTATTTGGTCAAAATATGACTGAAAGGTACTGAAGTCTTCAATCTTAACATTATATTTAGTTGTTTGTTTGTTTTGAGAGATTTTTGCTGTAGGACTGTGGTGTGACCAGAGAGAAAGAAGCAATAACCCCCTGGGGGGATGGCCACACCACAGTCCCTTCTTCATTCTCCTCTCAGGATTTTGGGCACACATGCACTCATGCTCGACATGAGTTTCAAGCTACTAGATCCAGGACTCAAACTGTGGTCAACTACGTGGGAGTCCAGCACTTTAATCACTACACTACCTGCTGGCCCCAACATTGTGCTCTTGATAATTTTTAAAAATTAAATAATAGTAACTATCCTGGCATGCCTGTGTTGTGCCAGGTAAGTACTTACATGGATTACTCATTAAATCCTTACTACATTTTATAAAGATTGCTATTCCTATTTTATAGGTAAGGAAATTGGCATAAAAAGGTTAAGCACCCCATAAAATATATACAGTTATTATGTCAGTTAAATGAAAAATTAAGCAAGTGACCCATAGATTACTTAATAAAATAAAATCAGTCGAGGCACCATAGGTCTAAATCCCTAGGCCTTAGGCATACAGTGATGCTAGCAGTTGTACAGCTTAGTTTTCAGAAAGGTGATTTTAGATATGAAGGCTAATGTTCTGTAGGTCCACATGAGTAATATATATAGACTACAGGGAGCTGTTAAAATGTAACTAAGAAAAGCATTCCTAAATTCATAAAGAGAGGCAACACAGAGCATTGCATGCATTATTTGTATAGATGTTGATAATATAAGGGCTTTTCAAAAATTCATGGGAAATGCATATTATAAAAAAAGTATGCCCAGATTTCAAACTTTTTGCTCCAAAACCTATACTTTAACTCCTTATTCTATGAACTTTTTGAAGTCTACATTTTTTTAAAAGATTTTTTGCCATAGGACATGTGTGCTCGCCAGAGACAGACAGAGAAAGAGAAAGTGAAAAACCACCCACTAGGGAGAATGGCCACATCACAATCCCTTCCTCTCCATCTCCTCTCAGGATTTTGGACACACATGGGCATGCGTTCACTGTGTTTCAAGCCTCCAGGTCAGAGTCTCAAACCATGTGGCCATGTGGCAATCCAATGCTTTAACCATTATGCCACCTGTTGGTCCCCAAAGTCCACGTTTTAACTTGGCTCCACAACTCCATTTGACAGGATCTCTTCCATTATGTAAAGCCTATATTCTGTTAGCATAGCATATGCTGCTCTGTGTCATTTCTTTATATGCAAAGGAAACATTTATTAGACAAAGGCTACTGCCAATAGTGAGTTTTGAATCAAGAATTTTGCTTATAGATCATTGGATGCATAAGAGTTCTCCTTCCTCTATAAGTCATTGTAATTTTTTTCTTTTCATAATGTTGAAAAGGAGGTACTTGCCTGGGCCAGCCAAATGGAGTGGTAGTTAAAGCAGCTGGATCTCTCATGGCTGACTGTACAGTTTGAGTGCTGGAACCAGCATCTTGAAAAACATACCAGGCTCCTGTGCATGTGTATCCAAAACCCAAGATGAGAATGGAGGAGAAGGGATTGTGGTGTGGTTATCCACTCTTGGGGTGTGTTCTTATTTTCTTTCCCTGCTCCCCCCCTCTCTTTTTGTGTGTGTGTGTGAGTGTGTGTGTATGTGTATCTCCTGCAAGTGCATGCACCCTATAGCAAATTTTTAAAAAAAAAATACACACATATAGGGAATGTAGAACTGGAGAATTACTAGAAACAAGAAATAGTGCCCCTTTATTAATTAAAGGTTTTCACAATATCCTCTGGGAACCAGACCAGTGACCTACTGGTTAAAAACTGGGGCTTGAAAAACACAACAGACATGTATGCATGCATGTCCCAAATCCCAGCAGGATGGAGTAGAGAAGGGATCGCGGCATGACCATGCCCTATTTGAAGACCCTGCATATTTTGAATCCCATCAAGGATCTAGATAACTATGAGGAAATTCAAAAAAAGCTTGCTTTTTCTCCGTTCTAGTTGTGTCAATATGTATATTCGTACATATAGGGGGGTGTTGTTATTTTGATGAGTTGAAGAAAATGGAACAAACCAATCATTAATGTTCCTATAAAACAGTTAGTTTTCAAAACTCTTACAGGCATCTTGGTGGTTTCTATATTTAGACTGTTTAACTTGCCTATACTTCTCCACTTCAGACCTACTATATACTTCTTACAATTTACTATGTGCTCTAGAAGTCTTGAAAAACAGTCTTTATTTTTTGTGTTTTCTAGGCAGAGGAAGAAGGTTATTTTGAAGCATTTAAAAATGAACTTGAAGCTTTCAAGTCAAGAGTAAGACTTTATTCTCAGTCACAGAGTTTTCAGCCTATGACAGTTCAGAATCATGTTCCCCATTCTGGTGTTGGATCTATAGGTTTATTAGACTCCTTACCACAGGTAAGTTGGAAAAGTAAATATTTATTTTATAACTACATTAGTTCACATAATTTTTGGCTTTTTTTAGTCTATTTATATGTAATATGTGAGACCGTTTTATTTATAATCGCTAGAGTTCATGACCACGTGCTCTTCAGAGAGACAGAGAGAGGGAGAATGTACCTCCCAGTAGGGTGTGGTCATATCATAATCTCTTCTCTTCCATTTCTCCATCCTATTGGGATTTGGGACATGCACACATGCACATGCACTCATCATGTTTTTAAAGCCACCATGACTGGGATTTGAATCACACAGCCATGTGGGATCTACCTCCCTTAACCACTAAGCTATGGCCTACCAGGCCATTTTAAATATTCTTGCCTCAGAATGTAACCCTGAGTCTCATTTTATAATATGTTTTAGCACAGAATCACTTTCACCTCTCAAGTGTCTAGCCACTAAATTCCATCTCCTTTTAATGTGGAAAAGATGAGTTGTGCAGAAATATTCTCTTTTTTAAAAAAATTATTTAATTTTATTTATTCATATTATTGTTTTAAACATTTGTTATCAGGGACCAGAGAGTAACAGAGAGAGAGAGGGAAAGTGAGAAAGCAAACCACCAGGTCCAGGACTCAAACCATAGTCAGCCATGTGGGAGTCCATTACCCCCAACCACCATGCCACCAGCTGCCCCCACCCCCCCACTTTTTTTTTAATAGTTTGCTATAGAGTGCAGAGAGAAAGAGGGAAAGTGAGAAGATTCTCTAGGACTCACCCACTCATCCCATTAGAGGGATGGCCATGCTACAATCCCTTTTCCTCCATTTTCCTCTCAGGATTTTTGAGCATGTACACACATGCTCAGTGTGTTTTCCACTGGATCCAAGACTCAAACTGTGCAGTTGGCCATGTGGGATCCAGCTGCCTTGTCCATGTAGTGAAGCATTCTTAAGGGCAGATGTTAACCACAGATCATTGTAGTCGTAAACTCACCAAGATTAATTCTGAGCCACATCTCATGCTCAGTAGAATTATACAATTATGAATTTTTAAAATTTAATTTAGTGGAGTTTAATTGAGCAAACCTTCTCCATTGTGAATTTTTAACGATGAATTTGCTTCAAAGCATACATGCAAGTGATAACCAAGGTGATCTGTTGCATTAATTTATTTAGTGATATCTGTTAGCATTGCCTATCACATGTAACAGTCTCAGTACACACTAATACAGCTGATAGTATTATATCTGATGATATTGGCCAACTAGTTGAGCCTCAGGGTTTTTCTGATTTTGTTTATCTTGTGTAATATCCCAGTTCCTCATAATGGGAGAATATGCACATTCTGGTCTAGTTCTGAGGGAGATAAGGGCTGGAAAATGTTTCAGCTAGATACACAATACTGTAGACTTATTGGGAAATAGGATAAAGTGAGCAGCCATCTGAGGGACCAAGTTGTCAGTTTAGTGGACGTTTGGAAGAAAATCTTACCACCATAACAGCATCCACTTTTATATAAGTTTAGAAGTTACAAAACTATAAAATGTTTGTATTATTAATAAGTCTTTTCAAAAACCCCATGATTGGGAACCAGCAGTTAGCGTAATGGCTATGTCGCTGGACTCCCACGTAGTCGACCGCGGTTCGTGTCCCGGACCCAGTGGCTTAAAACTCACGCCGGGCGCGTGTGCGTGCGTGCCCAAGATCCTGAGAGGAGAATGGAGGAGAAGGGATTGCGGCGTGACCATCCCCCCTGGGGGGTGATTTCTCGCTTTCTGTCTCTATCTCTCTCTCTGTCTGTCTGGCGAGCGCACGCGCCCTACAGTGAAAATCTCTCTATTAATAAGTCTTTTCAAAAACCCCATGATTCATTTTCATTCATTTTCATGGATGAGTGAACTAAAACTCATGGAAGTTAAGTAGCCTAAAGACAACACAATAAATGATGGAGCTAATATTCTTTTTTTCTTTTTCTTTTTCTTTTTTTGGAGAGGTTTTTGCTATAAGGCACGTGCGCTTGCCAGAGCGACAGAGAGACACAAAGTGAGAAATCACCCCCCGGCGGGATGGCCACGCCATGTAATCCTTTCTCCTCCAGTCTCCTCTCGGGATCTTTGGCACACACACACACACCTGGCGTGAGTTTAAGCCACCGAGTCCAAGACTCGAACCACAGTCAACCACATGGAAGTCCAGCGACATAGCCACTACGCCAACTGCTGGTCCAAATGGAGCTAATATTCTTAAACCTGAATTTCTATCTTAATTGTTCATTTATCTCTACCACAAATTGTCGAATCATATCCTGCAAATAAGACAGGATACTCAATCATGTGCTCTTGAGGAGAACTGGCCATTAGGACAAAAAATATGTTGAGAATGTTACTAGATGAGACCATGAGGCAGCTGTGGAATTTAAGAGTAGGTTATGTTAGGTTTATTGATTGCTTTTGCTTTTATAAGCCTCTTCATGAGGCTTACAGTTCTTAGAGAGATGGGTAGGTGAGTCCTAGAGAATCTCCTCAGCCAACTCTAATACTCAAAGTTCTGTCTTAGAAAACTGAAGTCTGATCTTAAAAGAGTAACTGTAAGCTTTGTTCTGAAGGCCATTAGAATTGGGCCTACATTGTCACAAAAGTTTTTAGCACTATTGTTTGGAGAATGGAATTATGTAACAAGCATTTGATTTTTTGTTTTTTTTATAAAGCTCAAATTTGGGTACCATTTTAGCTTCTAATTTATATTTTGTAATTGACAACAGTCTTGTGAAATAAACCAAATACTATTTCTTTGGTTTCCAGAGGACTAATCCAAAGCTTCTTGGATATGTTGTAGTAAAACATAAATAATAATTGCTTTAGGTCTATCATATCAACTAGCTTTTAATTTTATCAAATTGGGATTTTTTTTTTCTTTTTGAGAATTGCATTATTACTAAAGTAGAAACAGGATTAAACTGATGTGCAATGTGAGTTGTTGTCCTAGACCTCAGTCAGTTATTTGTGCTGTTTTCTTCATAAAGACCTGATTGAGAATAATCCAAACTCTAGCTAGCTTTTTGTCTTTTACAATAAATAAATCACAGAGTATTGTACTTTATTAGGAGGACCTTTTGAAAATTGTGTTACTCTTTGTATGGGACGGGGAGGTCTAAAACATCTGGCCTATTTGGACTGTTTGCCTCATTAGTATTAAGCAAAATAAACATAAGTAAAACTTAGTAATATAGTAGTAGAAGTCTAATTGGAAAGTATTCATAACAGCTGAATAGACAAAATTGAATTAAGGGAAAGAATTTCCTAAAATTCTAGGTCTTAAGGGCTTCTGCCCTTATTCATGATACTTTAACAAATAATGGTTTTCCTTTTTGTGTTTATTGAATAAGGTCTTACGTTTTCTGTTCCTGTTTTTAAGAATAAAAAGTATTACGTTTATGTGTTCTTCTTTTTAAATTTTATTTTCAGTTTTTAAAACATGGGTCTTGGGGCCAGCAAGTGGCATATGGTTGAGGCACTGGACTCCCACATGACCGACTATGGTTTGAGTCCCAGACCTGATGGTTTGAAACTCACGCGGGGCACAAGTATGTGCATGCCCAAAATCTTGAGAGGAAAATGGAAGAGAAGGCCATGACCACACTTTCTCTGTCTGACGAGTACTTGCGCCCTATAGCAAAAAATGTCTCTTAAAAAAAAAAAATGGGTCTTGGGACCAGCAGTTAGAATAATGGCTATGTCGCTGGACTCCCATGTAGTCGACCGTGGTTCGCGTCCCGGTCCCGGTGGCTTAAAACTCACACCAGGTGCGTGTGCGTGCATGCCCAAGATCCCAAGAGGAGAATGAAGGAGAAGGGATTGCAACGTGGCCATCCCCCCTGGGGGGTGACTTCTCGCTTTCTGTCTCTCTGTCTCTCTCTGTCTGTCTGTGGCACGTGGCGAGCACTGGCCTATAGGAAAAAAAAAAAAAACCTCTCCCCCCCAAAAAAAATGAAATGGTTAAAAAAAAAAAAGGGTCTTAAATACCTTTCAAATGATTAAGGATTCCTCGTGTTTGTTTTAACCTTTGAGAAACTGAAATCGACCTGAAGATAACTAATTTTTATTAATGAACTGAATTTTTTTTGTTTAAATATTTTGCACTTTTAATATTTACTGTTGTAATTAGATAATAATCTTCAAAATACATTGCTTGCTTAAAACCATATTTGTCATTTTAGTTATCAAGAACCATACACATAAAATCATACAAAAGATGTAGCCTTTTATGATTAAATAATTTATAGTTTTGATAAAAGGAGAAAAAAGATGGTGTTTATTATATTTCTGTTTTTCACATGTATCATTCTGTCTTTATCGTATCTTTTTATTAGCAATAACATTCTGTTTTTTCCTTTATTTTCTTGGGTTTCAGCCCACATCTGACTCCAAAGTTCATCTTCTTTTCTACTCTGCTATACTGCAGAGAAATAGAGAATCTGGAACTGCATATGCATTTGCATATATGTCATAAAACTGGTTGTGTCTATTCTTTCTACCCTTTGTTCTTTTTTTCCCCCTAGAATCCAGATTATCTTCAGTATTCTATCAATACAACTCTCTGCAGTTTAAACTCAGTGGTACATAAAGAAGATGATGAACCCAAAATGATGGACACTGTATAATTTGGTTAAGACTGCTGAGGCCAAGTACTATTTTGTTATAAGAAAGGAAGAACTTGGCTCTTTTCTTGACACTTTTATGGGTGCTGCACTTTATTTTTGTTTGGTTTTTGATGGGAGGGAGAAAGAGTACTGAGAAGTTTTGTAACTTTTTTTTTATGTGCTGCTAGGTTTTTTGTTTGTTTGTTTTTGTTTTTTTTTTTTTCCTGAAGAGAGGAATGGTATCATATGTTGCAGGAAGTCAAACTGGACCCTTTTTTTGCTACTATATTTGCCTTTAATCTTATTGTTCTCAATTTTGGAATCAAAGTATGAAAATCTGCACAAATGTGTTGTTTACAAGAACTGGTTGATTCTAGGAGGCATTTGCTACAGTCTTTTTATATGGATATGTATATGTCCTACTCTATAAAAATGATTAAAGATTAAAAACGTACTTGTTTCCCACTGCTAATTTAGCTGTCAAATCTAGTGTTTCATCATATTAAAAGCAATAAATCAGTAGTTGGAAATCTACTTTACTATATAGTAAGATAGGTGGTACAAATTTTAAAAAGCTTTTCCTCTTAAAATGTTATTACATTTGTACTTTCGGCACCATCATTTAAATCCTTGAGTATAATACAAATTTGATAAGACATTACATTTAAATCCAAAGTATTCTTTAAACTGTATTTTTTAGAAGTTGATTTTACCCTGTTGGCTTTTTAATAATAAGGGTTAAAGTGATATAAAAAGCAAATATCTAATACAGGTTTGGGTTTTTTTTTTTTTTTTTTTTTTTTTTTTTTTAGTAAAATAAACTCACACCTAATT